ATATGGGAGTCTCTTCTTACTACCACCTTGGACACGTGCAACATTCCAACTCTCGAGCTGCCCAGTGTATGGGTCACACTATACAAGCAATTAAGTAAAAATTAGCATTCTCCAGAATGCGTACAGTGTGTGTCTAGATCTGCGCATGCGCGTATTCGCACATCATGGAGCTTTCTGCTCGTTCGTTTTTCGAACATTTTTGAATATTTCTATCGTGTTCCTAACGACTTTTACTAAAGTTTCATCTTAAATTTAAGCGTTCTATTCCAAATCGGATTATTTCCGTTTAATTCTTTCGATAATTCGCCTGATGACGACGGCTATATGTTCGTCGAAAGTACTAGCGAATAAAAAACGCACACATAACGCCGACCTCAGTGCCTTCCCTTTTTTACAATATAATATTTTGGCGTGATCGTCAGCAAATTGATCATTAAGACATGGAAACTGCGAAAAACCTCTTCTACACCTTGCTGAAGCTAAAGAAACAGTGGCACAAGCTGCTTGCCCAACTACACTTTCTGTTAAGCTGCAGAACGCAAAAGGTAGTACCTAAGTCTATTTCTCTTAAGTACAAAGCCTTTCCACCCTGTCTTCGACGGTCTCTTCCGAGTGTGGAAAAATCTCTCCTCGCAAAGCTGATTAGGAACAAACGAAAGTACCTAGCAGAAGCCGAGCTCAACCTCTACGCAACACACCTTCAGTTCACCAAAGCTTGTGATCCAACTTTACTCTACGAGCAGCTGGGTAAAATACAGAGTATAGCATCCTATTCTGCCCAGGCTTTAGAAAAGAAATTGAACAATAAGCTCCAGTGGTTAGCACGTTCGTCGTATAAGCAAAGAAAAGTGGAGGTGAATATCCCATATTACAACTACACAGATGAAAACGTGCCTAACGCAGTGCATAAAATTCTACAACGGGGACCTAAGTATATTCCATCGACCAACACCAATTTTTCCCAATTGATCCCGGCCACGTTAGCAGCACTCAAGTTTTGCCAGAAGGACACTGCATGTTCACAAATGGAATTATCTATAATTACGAAGATTGCCACGGCAAAACAAAGATCCGGCAAGCCCAAGGGCGTTGTGGACCTTCGAACAGTAGAACACTTCCTTGCCAGAACCAACTTGAGACTTCTAGTCTCTGACAAGGACCGGAGGTTTGTGCTATGCAGAGAGAATGACTTTCTCATCAGGGCCAATGAATTTTTAACACAGTCGCATTCCTCAGAAATGAGTGACGACCCTACTCCGGCGGTATTAAGAAAGGCAAGAAGAATCATCGCCTTACCAGGTGTTTCCTCAACCCTAACTGGGTCGCTCGATCCCCCCTCTAATGTTGCGTGTCCTAGGTTGTTCTTTCAACCAAAAACCCATAAGACAAACTGGCCGTTACGTCCGCTAGTAAACAAACGGTCTCATCCAACCTATTATTTAGAAAAAGCGCTTGCTAAATTCCTTCGCGCATTAGTTCCAGATTCTC